GCAGGGCAAGCTTTGCAGAACTTCGGGGCGGGGCGAGGGAAGACGTAGACAGGCAGAGGTTCACCGCTCCGGCTCTCGGGATAAACAAAACCTTGGGGACAGCCTCTTTCTTTCCTATTCAATTTTTAAAGCGCCGGCAGAGCGCCCACAGCAAGGGAGCCCGCGGGAGCCATGGCTCCTGCCGGGCGCCGGGAAAGGAGGGCGCAGGTTCCGGGGCCCCCGGAGGATGCTCGGGGCTCGCGAGCCGGAGGGGGCGGAGGGCGGGCTGAGGTCCCGTGGGGTGGCCCGCCGACCCTCTCCAGGGATCCCCCTCTCTGGAGCTCGGGCACCCCTGGAAGCGCGCGAGCCTCAGGGCAGCCGGGCGCAGGTTCCCTCGAGAAGCGCTGCAGTGGTCCCCAGCCTGGAGGAGACCGAAGGATGGAGAGAGCCTGGTTTCTCCATCTAAAGGACCAGGGCCCCCGAGGCGGGGAGGCCATAGCGGCCTGGGTTCGGGGTGGGGTGTCTCCGGCCAAGTCGCACCTCCTCCCCAGGTCGTGACCCGGACCCTCAGCTCGCACCCTCCCCTGGCGCACGCGTCCTGGGACACACTGGGCCAGTCATGCGGGTGAAGGATGGCGTGGGCGCCGGGGGCCCCCATCTTTCTAGTGGCTGGTGACGTCTTAACTTTCTTCAATTCTCTTTCTTCCCAAGATTTTCCTTTAAATGCCCTCACTTGTTAACTTTGGGAGTGGAAGGGGCAGAAGGCAGAAGAGTCCCAAGGTTTCTGGCTTTTCACATCAGCTGTCCCATTCTGAAACGCTGGCACAAATTTGCAGCAGCAGCTGTAGATTTGATTTGGGTCTCTTCCTCCAGGTCCTAGGCCGGTGTCCGTCCTGAGCAGCCCGGCAGTGGCATTGGCAGGGCGACCGGATTCGTGGGTGGCTTCCTTAAGCTTGTGGCCTTTATGGTTAGTGGATGCCCTCAGATCAGCTGACCTGTCCTCCACAGCTCAGTTGAGAGGCTGGAGAAACACGAGTTTTACGCACACACATTGCTGTAATTTCTGTCGCTCTGCCCCCAAAGGGGACAAGGCGAGGCTAACGACTGCTGGAAGTGTTTTCCTAGGACTTCCTCATATCCGTGAGGCAAAGATTTTAGGATGTGGAAAGCTTTCCCGTTACATCTTGCTGTCTTTGTTTTACGTCTGTATTAAGAGGTCAAGATCTTAGGAAATTAAGCTAATCTCTTGTAACCAATTTGAGGCAGAAACTGAAAATTTTCTGGTATTCCCCTGCTGTATTATGACTGGGCGTTTTTGAACCTCATTCTGTTGTCTTCGGAGCTATCCCTGTTCTCTTTCTTTCCGATAACTTTGTTTTGTTAAATGCCATACACACTTTTTATAACCAGAAAAAGGTTGGGAAACTGTAAAGCCTTCTGACAGTCTGCATATATTAAAATATGCATTCTACTGAGCACAAGTTGTGTAATCCATGGATTATCCCCTTAGAGCATTTTATGTTCCACTTCCATTGATCGTAAACTAGTGAAATTATATAACCAATGAGCTAATAACCATGAAAGTAATTTGAAAGGTTATAATTGCTAATCAAATGTAAAGCATATTTATTAGCATCATTATTAAAAGGTGCCAGAGGGATACAGATAAAACCTGTTCCTATCCTCTGGGAACTTACAATCTAGTTGGGCATAAATAATGAAATGTAAATTGATCGAAACAGCTACTAAGCAATGTTCATTCTCTGGCATGTTGAAGACATTCAGTAAATGATTGCCTCACATTAATTTGCAGGCGTGTCATTCTTTTAACAGAAATATAATACTGATAAGTAAAGGAAAGATTAATTAGGAAATTTTAAATGGAAAAATGAATTTGTCCTTTACAAGTCACATAGGAAGATTGGGAATGTGCATGCTGTTTGCGGGACAGCTGGTAGGTACAAGTGCAGGATATGAGAGAGGCCCCATGACATTGTAAGAAACCTTACGAGATCCTTAAAGTTGACACATTTTTATAAATTCGATTATGTGTATGTGTGTCTCTGTCTGGGTATGTGCGCAAGAGTGCAGACGCATCCTGTCCCCCTGGGCCTGGAGTTTCAGGCAGTTGTGAGCCACCCAGTGTGGGAACCAAACCCAGGTCTTCTGCAACAGTAGTGTATACTCTTAACCACTGGACCATCTCTCCAGCCCCTTGACATTGATAGTTAAACGAGTCTAGCTAAGTACTGAATATAGAGGAAATCTAGGAGGAGTAAGAAAAGATTTTGGCTCTGTTCTGGAACATGATACTGCTTAAGAAGGGTTATCATTACAGTCATCATTGAACCCCTTCCTCCAGTTTGTCTACAATGGAAAATACACTGAAATGACAAACTCAGGTGTGAGCCCTGATAACACATTGGGCAGCAGTACCACTGGATCTGCATCATCCACTTATTCTTCTTTATCAATAACAACTAACACCAGACAGGTGGTGACTAACATCTAGATATCTTTGTCATTTAGCATATCTACCCATATTCCTTTGCAGTGATTTTTAATTGGGAATGGTTTTGTCTTTCTATCCACCCTCTGAGGCTGTCTTGTATCAACAGCATTTTTTAGTTAGAGCAACTGTTGGAGGGATATTACTTGCATCTGGTATGTAGAGTTCGGGGATGCTGTTGAACACCCTGCAATTCAGTCTCATCCCTCAACTTCAAATTCTCCTATCCAGCCTGTCAGTGGAACTGAGGTTGAGCAATCCTCAGGCGTGGGAAGGAAGCATGACCTCTCTCTCTGCACAGCTGCCCTATGAGACCTAGGATCTAACTTTTATTACAGTACGAGTTTCAATTGGAAAGATTTTTTTACTTAGTGAGACAAAAATAATCAAAGATGACAGGATCTTTGACTTGACATGAGGCCTTAGAATGGGAAAATCATAAGGGTACCTGCTTGGATTTCTGTTTCTTTTTTTTTAATGTATAAAATGAGAGTTAGAAATAATCTTTAAGGATTTGTCATCTGAATGCTATTTGTTAAATTAATACAATGTGCCTTTGGAGTTGCTTAGCAACTTATGGAAAGCTTTTTAAAAAGTTCATTTGTTTGTTTAAAACCAGGGTAGGTTGCATATTATTAGCTACATTACATAAATCAACAAAGAAATATACACTAAAAATGGAATAAGATGTTTCAACACATTTTCTGCTCTCCGTGTTTGGCAATTAAAACATTCTAATTGTCTGGTAGAATTGCATCAAATGTTCACCAGCAGTATTTATGTATGAAACTTGAGCGTAATATTGAGGGTATAAGAAAACCAAAGGAGAAAAACATTAAACAGGTTTGTCATAAAATATATGTTTATCTTAACCTTTCTTCTTCAAAAATCTTATCTACTAAGTACTTTTATCAGACACTAATTATACACTTTCTGAAAAGAATTTCTCCAACACTCTTCAGTGTCTGCACCCTTTAATCATGTCTCATTACATCTATCTAATCCATATCTTTTTCACATTGCTAGGGCTCATTAACAGTTTTAAAAGCCTATCTTGGCCATTATCATTGCTTACAATCAAAATGAAAATATTGCCAATAATATTTTATTTCTGAAATGTAATGGACCATATCACTTTTGTTACGAAACTGTTCTCAAATATTAACGAAACGTTGGCTTTCATGAAGGTAGGAAACCATCAGCGTTGGTGAGGTGTATCTGAAACCCTTGAACCACCTTTTCTAAAGGGTTATTTTTGCAAACTGTGGTAACAGAATCATCAGTCACTTTGAAAGGAAGTGAACCTTGATGAACAAGTTGGCCGATCCTATGATACCACAGATGTGTAAAGCAACACAGGTGTGAGCTATAAAACAGGATAAGTAATTTTCAGAATCTAATCTATTAGTCACATTAAAAATGTACAAACTTGGATGGATCTTCTTCATCTTCTGTATCAATTCCTTTAATTGTTATAAACAAACATACCAAATAGCCCATTCCAATAATGACCTACAAGTACTGTATTTCCCATAACTTTAACTTTGGCTGGTACATCATTTTCTTTTTATGGTTTTCTGATTTCTGAAGATGAGAGTCTCATCGAATTCGTAATTTCAGTTACATGACTAAAATAGGGCCTCCTGATAATACGTTCTCAAGACTTGGAAGTCAAATTCTGTCTCTCAGAATATAACTACACAAGGCTAATAATTCTCTGAATGCTTCCTCCGTTACTATAATCAAGCTTGAGACTAAAGTTATCATTATTTTATGAATTTTAGGAAACTTTTAATGGTGTTTTAAAACTTGGATAATGAAAACTCATTGTCCAAATGGGTGACATTTAGACCAGTACCCCGGGGCTGTTGTAGAAGTAGAGACAGAATTAAACTTTCGTTCTTCTTTGACTTTTTCCTGTTTGTCCATTCCTACCAGATAGAAATCGCTTCTCACTGAGTATTTTATTGCATATTTCTTCAGGATTTTTTTCTTTGAGAATTTTTTATTTCTTTTGATTTCTTCTTGTTAGTTTTACCTCAGCTTGTTTGTGGAGATTAGAAACTAGCCAAAACCACGTGGTACCATATGCCAGCTGGTGAGCTCAGTTTGCATAGCCAGACCTTTAACATAGTCCTCTAAGATCCTTTCTCTTAGCAAATTGTCTCTTAAATTTCTGTAATTTCTTCATAAGAATTGGGGGTAAGTTTTCATGTGTTTAATTACATACAAGAAGTCCATATTTGTTTGGGGTGGTTATTATTTATTTTTCCTTGTTTTAATGAATTTTCTTCATTTATTATCAATTAACTTACTTCTGTTAATACACCAGTATTTGTTAAACTTACCATAAAAATAAAAAAAATGATAATATGGTATTAATAGTCTTTAAAACTAATTTTTGTTTTTGTCATTTTGTAATCTTATTTTTGTGTTTGTCTTTCCTTATTAAGAAACTTTCCCTTTTCTGTACTGATCATCTGTTTTCTTGTTTCTATATTGTTATTTTCAGAGCTTTATTCCTGATGGGTACCCTGAAGGCTGGTATGATCATCCACATCACAGCTCAGGTGTGCTGATCTCAAGCTGACATTTCTAAGGAGAAAGCACCACAACGCCCGTGCTCTCAACAAGTGTCCAGAGAAAGTTGCTTCAACACTCTTTAAAAAAAAAAAAAGTTCCCCATTCAGCCTCCTCCAGTCTCTGAATTACTGCATAGAATTTTAAACTCATTCAGATCTCTTCCATGTCTGAATTCATGATCATCTTCCTATCTTTTGGTTCCACAAATAAAGAAGAAATAATAATAAATGAGTGAAATTGTTTTGATCTCACTGAATCACTCTGAGCTCAGCCAACCCCACTGGACTAATTCACCTTGTCCTTTTTCATTGCCTTAAGTCTCTCTAGATATTTTGTAGCAAAGCTCTCCTCTGTGCGTTTGCCTAGCTGGAAAGAAGAACACTGGAGCTGTGGCGCTTGCCTTTGCTCTTGAAGTATATACCCCCCAAAAGCTGAGCTCTCTCGATGATGGGGTATGAGTGGCAAGCACCATCTTTCCTTTATGTTGCATAGCAGCTTTTACTTCTTTATCCTGGGTGCCACAGTTCTTGCTGGTGTGAGGTCGTTATGGTTATGAACTGACTCCTCTTGTAGGAGGCATTGGGAGAATTTTGTCCTAGCAATCAAGAGGTGTGTGCCTAGATGATTAACCTGGGCTGCAGATGTAGCTCAGTGTCCCTAACCTGGTTAAGACCCTGGATTCAATTTCTCGTACCCATAATGAACTGAATCAAGAGACTGCACTTCTATACTAAGTGAAAGGAAAAAGCCACTATTACTTATCTTTATTACTTATTTTTCATAAGTAGGCAAGACATTTTAGTGTACATTATCTTGAAATGATAATGAACGGATTTGTGTGGATTATAATGGGAGAGGCAGCCACAAGAAATCTTAAAGAATGAGCACAAGGTGAACTTCAACATTAACACAAACGGTGCAAAGTTATCTTGAAAAAGCAAGTTATTTCCTCTGCAATAAGACTTCATTTAAGAGCTACTAGAGGCATTGACATATCCACAGAGAAAATGGTAGCAATGAAAGCAGATAAAGTCAGAAGCGAAAAAAAAAAAACTATTTAAATATGGTTCAGAGATGGAGGGAGGGCTTCATGACATAGGTCTTCAGTCGCAATGAAAATCTCGATCCTCTTGTAAAGGAGCATTAATTTAAATTTGGTGCTGATAACTGCTCAAATAATAAAAGTAACTGCATTCTAAGTCCATGTTTTTCAAGTAATATTCTTTTATTTTTTCCTGGATGGGGTTTCCCTAGTTCCAGCCTGCCTGGAACTCACTATAGACCAGGCTGGCCTTGATCTCACAGAGATCCACCTGCCTCTGCCTCCTGAGGCCTGAGGGCTGAGATCAAGGGCGTGAACCAGGACATCCAGCATTCGAGCAATAGTCTTGATTACTTGGCTTTCAAAGCAGTTTTTTTAGAAAACACACTAATCACAGAAATTAATATATTATGTGTAATGAGAGTTACCATTAAGAGTGATATTCAATGTCTTCAGTGGAGTTTTTTATTTGTTGTTGGTCATTAATGAAGAATTTCATTTCTATGGCAAAACATTTCTTTACTACGATAAAGTGATTTCTTTACTATGTATCTGTATTTGATGGGGGCTATCATTTTGAAATGTCAATAAAAATCAGAGTGTAAAGTTTCAGTATGACAGGAAGATCCAATATTGTTTTTCTCAGGTTCAGTCCTTTCCTTCGACCTTTCCTGAGACATAAGACATTCACATACAACCACGTGTGTCTGCATGCACAGAGAACAGTTGAAGTAAATAATTACTGCTCACTAGTAGTTCGTTGGGACCAAATGTTTCCCGTAATGTGATACTGTGCATTTAAAAGGATGGACGTAGAGTAAAAGGCCATTTGAATTCTGGATTCCCTACTTGCGAGCTTATTAGCTGTGAGATCACCTTAACAATTACACACATCACTTTCCTCTGTACAGTGAGGATATTATGTTAAAACTCTCATATATGAAATTGAATGATATAAATTACATAAACTGTGTAGCACTACACCCATTTCATTGTAAGAAATCCAAATCAAAACAACTATGAGCTATATGACCCCAGTTGGATAGGCTGCTATTAAAAGTATAAAGTATCAAATGTTTGTAAGGAGTCAGGGAAAGGAGAAGGAATACACTGTTGGTGGGGATGGCATGGGAATTACTGAAAACAAAAACAAAAACAAAATTAGACCTGGAACTGTCATATCTAAAAATCACTTACTGGTCGATATCCAAAGAGCTGAGCGAGGTCAAGAATTGTCTCCATTCATATGTTTTATATATTCATGGCAACATTATCCACTGAACCCAACATACGGTACCAAGCTAGGTCTAGACTGGTGAATGAGTGAGCAAGAGGGTGATACACAGGCACACACACACACACACACACACACACACACACACACACAGAATATTTTTCAGCCACACCAAAGTATAACATTTACAGTATCCTGGATAGAACCAAAGGAAATTATCTCAAGAGAAATGTCAGGCACAGAAGGACAAAATTGCTTCTTCTCCCTTATGCATGGAAGCTAAAATGTTTATCTCATGAAACTAGAGAGTAGAATATTAATTAACAGAGGCTTGGAAGGGTGTGTGGGAAGAAAATGGGAAGGAGGATGTGGGTAACGGTTTACGGGTGCTATGGGGCAGAGGGAAGAGCTTCTAATGTTCTATAGCCCAACAGAATAATTATAACTGACAACAATTAATTGTATGCTTCAAAATAGCTAGTAGAAAGTGATTTGAGTGTTCCCCAAACCAAGAAATAATAAACTTGGGGGTGATGGATAAGCTAATTGCCACAGCACAGCATATATTGTAAATCTGTACAACAACTATGTGCCAGTTTTAAAAAGACAAAGATAAATGAATGAGAAATAATCCTTTAAGTGTTTATCCATAACAGTGAAGTCAGAACCACAATAAGATGACAGAAATTCAGGATATTATTGAAGTCTCAGGACATAGCTTGTAGAAACTAATCCCTAATCCTTTCATACAGTTACCTGCTTTGCTCCGAAGTTCTAACATTAATTTTATCTAATACATCTTTGTTATCCATACACTGGTGGAGTAAATTATGGAGCACATGTCTTCATAACTGACCTCCATCTAACAGGTCTCATCTTACCATAGATCAGATGGATAGTGGGCCTAGCTCTTTGCTTCTTGCAGGCCCGGTTCAGTCCTTTAGGGGCCTAGGAATGGCTCTTCCATCTTTAGGGCCAATAAAAAAACAAATCCACCACATAATAAACATTGTATAGAGAGTAGGAAAGTTTACTGAGGATTCTTTGAAGTAATTCTTTAATTCCATATGTCTAGAGTGAATCACATTGTCAAATTTAACTGCAGGGAAAATATGGGAAACTATTCAGCTTATGTATTTAGGGAGGAAAATAAATGGATTTGTTGAGCATGTCACTATCTCTATTTTGACAACCAGCCAAGTATGGCCACTAAAAACAGCATTTGAGATTTTCTTCAAATTTTCATCAGTTAGTTAAAGAGGATACAGAACACCGAGCTACAAAATTAATTTGCACTTAATTTTAACGGAAGAATATAGCTCATATTAGAAAGCATTTGCCTACAGGGATCAGAGTCTAAGGAGGTATCCTGTCCCTTTTGATTAGTTTTTTGTTCAATACAATTCATTTGTAACTTTTTGTGAAGCCTTTCACCTACTTCCTTTCAACTTAAAGCTCGTATATGCGAAAGAGATTATACCCTCAAATGAGCATTTCCCTTGCTTTTATCGTCTTGTGTCATTATCCCAATGTTCTCTTCTTCTGGCTGTTATTGAGAGCATACTTTCAGATTTAGCATGGAGATTAACTGTAAAACAAGCAAATAGCAAACTGTTTTATTGGCATGAACTATAAAAGTCAATGCTTTTAAGAGATTTTTTTTTGTTGTTAACTGCTACTTCTAAGTGACTGAAATACTCAGAAAAGAAGTAGATTGACACCCTTGGATTTAAGGATTTTTTTTCTATGAAGAATTGTAATGATAAACTTTACATACAGTGTAAGCTTTGCTATGATACCGAAAATATGACTTTTTAAAAAGTTTCACTTTTGATGAGAGAGTTTCCAATGTTAAAATCAACTGACCACATGGACTCTCGGGTTCTCTCCAAATAAAGACAACAAACTACCTGACACTACACCACACATTTTTGTAACCCCAATATTCCATGGGCTGCCTGTACCTATGATTGGTTTCTTTCCATGAAGAGTATTTTTAATGATATTGATATTATGTTGTCAGGATTAAATATTTTAACCACTTTCTCATAATTATTATGTATATATAAAAATAGTATTATATTTTGATATTTGTATTAGAACTCAATCTATCGTTTATTAATGCTTAGTCAATAGAAGTGTTTCTGATGCTAATTAAGATGCATTCTTAAGTGACCATTTAGTTATGAACTTTCTTTTAGACAAGGTTTCATGTATCTTAGGTAGACTTGAACTTCCTGTTTAGTCCAAAATGGGTTTCAATGCCTAATCCCTTTCCTCTTCCTCCCAAGAGTTGGAATTATAGGCAAACGAGTGTCATCATGCTTGGTTTAAGACTGAAATTCTTAGATAATTTTATATTGTACACACGCTTGTTTTAGTGGCTATAACACAAACTAATAACTAATATATAAATAGGAATCATATTTTAGGTATTCTAGTGTATTTTATAATTTCTCATACAATTATGTTTGCAAATTAAAGATTAGCAGTCAGATAGCATCATAATTTTGGTTTCTGTGTTATTCTAATGCCTACCTCTCTTAAATAGATGTGAAAAAGTAAAGCATCATAAATGTATGTTCTGAGACTGGAGAGATGGCTTGGTGGTTAAGAGCATTGGCTGCTCTTGCAGAGGACCTGGGTTCAATTCCCAGCACCCACATGGTGCCTAACAACCAACTGTAACTCTAGATCCAGAGGAATCCGACGCCTTCCTCTGACCTCCACAGGCACTGCACAATATGGGTGCACTTGCGTACATCCAGGCAATATACTCTCACACACAAAATTTTAAAAAATTAAGCATTAAAAAGTAAATGTATCAGTTCTACAATTAGAGATACCTATTATTTCATTGAACAACTCTGTAGGAGAAAAATATACATTTTAGAAGGTAGGAATTGAGCGTGGTGGGACACACTATAACGTCAGTATTCTGGAAGCTGAGACAGGAGGATCATGAGTTCTGAGACTAGTATAGGCTACAGAATTAGACCATGTCTAACTACACACAGTTAAAACAATAAAAATACCCAGGTGTTGTGGCACACGGGTTTAGTCTAGTCTACATAGCGAGTTCCAAACCAACCAGGGCTACATAGTGCTATCCTGTCTCAAAAAAAAATTGAAAAAAAGAAAGAAATTAACATTTTTACTATTTCATTGAGTAGAAGTATATTTTGTGAGCAGTCATATAAGATGTGCGATGAAAAATTTTAGGCCATATACAGTATACATCCATCTATTTTACATTATCAACCATCATATGTATCTTTCATTTTTATATTATATAAATAAATAACTTTCTTGATATTAAAGATAATAATCTATGAAGAAGTCGAATCATTTAACTAGAAAACAGTTTGAGGTCTTTTAACTTTCATACAACTTCCATATTTTTCATTTTCAGTACAGTAGTGAATGTGAACATGCTACTGTTATTTTCATTCTGCCTGATTGTCCAAGTCATTGAACAGTTATATAAGAAGCTATTACCTTAAGTCCTGCATGTTCTGTCTCAGGCTTCATACAGTTATTATGCGTGAATATGATTTAAATGCTGAAGACAAACTATTCCTTTTGCTTTATATTTTAATTGGTATTACAAAAGCTACCTTTTTAATCCCTAAATTTTTATAAGACGTAACCATTCTAGCTTATGCATATTTGGCAAAAAGTAATTTCATTTGCAAAGTTGCTAAGCAGAAACTATTTAGTGTTTGATGTTGAATGCAACATAAATGCTAATTAAAATTCACTGGCAAATCATTTAAGATTTTAAGTAAGTTGACTTGAAGACATTTTCCTCCAAAACAGTTGCTACATTTCTACATGTTTCCTGCATGGTGGATTTTGAATTTAGCATCTGACATGTTTTCTCAACTACCGGCTTATAATGAAAACATGTAGGTACTCCAGGGAATGTGTTAAAAGCAAATACTCTATGATCTTTGAAAGGTAAACGACAGCACTGAGATTGTCACATCTGGATCAGAAA